CTAATATCATGGTATATTTAAATTATACTCTTAGTAACAAGGTATATTTAGTACCATGTAACTTAACAATATCAGATTTATTAAACAAGTGTAGTATTTTTTATTTGACTCAAGCCTTCGGTGAGAAACAAGTGAAAATTACTACACATCAAGGATATGCTGGTAACATAATTTTTTTGAGTCAATTCAAACTGTGACCTTTTCACAAACCTTGCCAAATTTCTGTGTGCGGAGAAGTTAAGGTTGGGGGAATTTGAAAAGACATTTGAAACTTCCAAAAAAAATATTTAAGTTCATATATTTCTCAATAATAATAATTCAAGAATTATTTTTTAAAATCACCAACATCTTGATATATTGGTATACAATGTGATAGTGAGCCGTGATATTAAAAAGTCAATGTGCTTGCATGGACCAATCAGATTGTCAGGATTTATATTACATTATATGGTAATATAGAAAATTTATTATACTGCTTTACCTGTATTTATTACACAGAACTGCCATGATTTATGGGATGAATTTATATTATGCTTTGTATGATTTCTGTGATTCGATGAAATTCTTATTTATGACTTATACTGCTATTGTTTCATATTTTCTTGCTTAATGACATATTAATATTATAATATCATGTCAGAGATGGTGATTTGTGTTATCAAAAATAAATTGAACGTCAACTTCTGGCAGTATCCACAAAACAGTTCCATTTATAGTCTGCTATTTTCAGCATAATATGTTGTGAAAATTAAAAATTTTTTGAATTAACCTAACACATTTTACATTTTGTATGTTCAGTACAAAATTACCCAAATTTGAGCAGGAACAAAATTTGCTGCCTAGGCTAACAAGTGTTTTAAAATTGCACTGTGAGTTCATTCTTAGAGGGGTTTGGAACTATGTGAAATATTTACCCATGTTTCAAATATAAAATATAAAACTCAAATGGCCGTCAAGATCTCTTTGAGGATATGAGAGTCATATGACTTCAGTTACATGACTTGTTATTCTCCTTTAAATATTCTCTTCCGTCATCACATTCATTGCTCTAAATACCATGGTTATGTAGACTAGTGAAACAATAAATGCAATAATCAGAAAGAATGAAGGGAAGAAACAAGTCTCACGGCTCTCTCACTCTCAATGAGATGTTGGCGGCCATTTTTATCTATAGTAGCAGCCTATAAAGTCAAAGCATCACCAACATTTGGACAACGGAAATCATTGAACACAGATGGTTTGCTATATTATTTTCCTGAACGTCGCACAAATTCAGACAAAATTTATTATAATTGTCTCAATAATCTGTTATAAATGACCTTTGAGGCCAACTTTCATGAAAGTTTTCAAAGAAATCTTACCTATCTTTCACATGTTTGTTTTTTATTATTCAACAGTATTAAAAATTTTACGAGATACATTTTGTATTAAATACTCAAAATGAGGTCACTTATAATGGAGCTATGATTGATCAAATGTACATCTTTTTACAAATTCTATATTTTAGCAGATGATATTTCTGTGATGTTTTCGGGATTTGTCATTAATATTTTATTCTAGTTGTACATGTGCCAAAGGTTAATATTCATTAAAATATTTGTTGTTGTTATTTTGTGAATATTTTTAAATTAAGCAATAATTTATTCAGAATAAAGACATTTTATAAATCAGTAACATGTCCATACATGGGCATATTGTCTATTTATAGTCAAGATTATACCTAAGATTTTAATCTATGTGATGAACATTACATGTACAGTAGAACGTCGATTATCCGAAATGTTCGGTTATCCGAACCTACTGTGTGTCCCCCAAAGTTTGTATGCAGGTCTGGCTATGTTCCGTATAATACAAAAGTCAACTGTGAACAATAAATACTACAGTCGTCTTGTGTGATTTCCTGGTGCAACACTTTCAATAAAGCTATTGTCAACATGTAATCCGACGTCTTTCACGTGTACGTTCATTGTTTACAGTGTCTGCGCAAACAATGACACGAATTACCTATTATGCAACACCAGTGTTCCCCTGTAAAATAAACAATTTCCTAAAAACACAAACTTCATCAAATGTCTTCTCCACTGTTTACAGTCAGATCCTTAACTTTACCAAGTTGTAAGTCATCGCAGTTTGGATACTTTCCCCGAAAATTGTACGGGGTTCCACTGCCGTCAAAGAAACGCGGCCATAAGCCGATCCCATGTTTTTTCCGATTTTT